CAGCTTAGGCTACCTGATGGACGGCCCCCGCCCCTTTTCTGCGACGGCCTCGATTCGATTTTCCACAGGCTGTGGAGATGCGCGCGCGTACCAGTCGCCGAGCTTAGATCGAGCCGAGTGGACAGTAGCACGGTGGAAGCCGCGCTGGCCGCTGAGGACAACGAAGAAGATGCGTTCGTCTTTATATCAGGGCGTTTCGCCACCCCGCCAGCCAATACCCTAGGCCGCCCACTGAGTCGGACGATGGTCCTTTTTTTTTGTGTGGCACCAGAAAGATGTAGTGTCTCCCTCGGGCCAAAGAGCCTGGCACGGAGGTCTGGGGTAATGCGTTCGTTGAGAATTCAAGCAGCAGGCACGTCATTCGTGAACTTTCTCGTGCCGCCAGCAGCGTTGTCATGGTCGAAGACTAGGGTGACTCTGTGGTTGAATTCAGGGCCCCAACTTGGGCCCCGTATCCTCAGACGCCCCAGTCAGCCGAACTTAGTTGCTGGACATGCGCCAACGCGCTCGCTTCTTCCGCGATTTCGGTGTTTCTGATTGAAATAATGTTGTTAAGCTGGCTTGTCGGCCCAGAGGCGAGCAGCTCTCGGGTAAGCGGGCCTACTCAGGAGCTTTCTTGGAACTTTACGCCCAGGGCATTAAGCCTGCCCCTTGCACCAAGGTCGCCGCTGACAATGATACCGACGAGAGCGGAATCGATGCTGCCGAGCGCTGGAGACGCCTCGGCAACCACCACGCCGACCCTGCAGCCAAGCACGCTGTCCGTCTGCACCCGTCTTGCCAAGACCAGCTTGACGCTGCCGACAAGCTCCTCGCACATGCGCGCCAGACGATCCGTTTGGCCGCGCACGTCCTACACCTCTGGCCAGCCTTGGATATTTCCGAGGCCGAGCGCGTGCCAGTCGTGCCCTCTGCCGCCAGGGCGCCTGCAGGGCACCTCTGGGAATCGTGGTCTGGCGTTTGGCGCTGTGCCGTCTGCCTCCGAGGGAACAGGTCTGTGGGGAAGCCTCCACCAGGCGCTCGTCGCTGCACGCGCCTCGCCAGGACGCCTTAGAGCATCGCACGATCGCGTTCGACTGCTCTGACGGCTCTGCTTTACTTATGCACACGCGCTGCAAGTCGTACTCCAGCGGAGCGTCGGTGTGCGTGGTCTCAGGGCCGAGTGCCAGCCTCCTCCGTTTCGTGCTGCGGGATTTCGCTGGAGCGCGTGGTGCCGAGGGCGTCACCCGCATTAGAGGCAGCGGCCGGCGGGCGCGACTGTGGACACTGACAGTCGACTGCAGCGTTTCAGCACGCATGCCCGAAGCAGTTTGCGGCCCCCCTGCTCTTCGTCATAGCAGGTGGGCGACGGTTCCTCGCTGAGAGGACTTCGACGTGGGCGTGGAGTTCAAAAAAATACCAGAAAGAGCGTTCTGGAACGATGTAGGGTTGTCAGGGCGCAACAATTACGTTGACTCACGATGCCGAAGTCCCAGAAATCGTGTTCTGGTTCGGTCAGGATCGTCAAGATGCGACAGTAAGGTTGATTCGTGGCGTTTAAATCCCAATAATGGTGCTCTGGCACGGATCAAGACTGTCAAACGGTTGTCTCCCAACGCGGCACTTTCCTCGATGGAAATGAATCATTCGAGGGGCCTGCGAAAATTGAACTTAGAGGGAGGTGGTATTGCAACAACGTTGATGAGTCTTGGGTTTACACTGGTCTTCCTCCTCCTCCTCCTCCTGCTCCTCCTCTTCCTCCTCCTCCTCCTCCTCCCCCTCCTGCCCGCCCCCTTCCAAGTCGAGCTGCTGGCGACCGCGATCCTCCCTCCCCCGAGCTGGTGGCAGCAGAATGGCGCGACCCCTCCTGAGGCGCGGCGGCGGGAGTGGTCGTCCCACTGGGCGCCTCCGCGGCCTCACGCAGGGCGGGCAGTGCAGGAGGCTCTGAGGAAAAGTGGCATGCTCGCGTCCTGACAAAAAGGGGGGACTGCTGCAGTCGTCTGAAGGCGCGACTGCGGACAGGATGGCCCGCAGCCCCTCAGGCAGGACCCGCAACGCCTGCTCCAGTGCTTGCACTCAGGGGGTTGTGCCTCCGTGCTTGAGTAATCCCACCAGCCCTTCGGGCGACAGGTGGTCCAAGGAGGGACTCCCTCCTCTTCCACAACCCCATCCTCCCCTCGGGGAGGGGCACCCTCCCCCTCCCCTCCCCTGAGGTTTTCTGGGGAGGGGCCGCGAGGTGTCGGAGGCCCCTGGCTCGGCCCCTGGGAGGGCCCATGCTTGACACCGCTCTCGAGGATCGTTTTGGACGCCCGAAATGGGTACGGAAAGAATGGGTACGATGCCCAACAACAAAGCTTGTCCCAAACCAACAGCGGCCGCTGTTGGGCGGGCGGCCTTCTGTCTCGAATGGACACAGGCCGCGGCGGCGCGGATAGCGAGTCCTGTTCAGAACGAACAGGAACTGCTGTTGGGCATCGTACCCATTCTTTCCGTGCCCATTTCGTTCGTGCAGAATCGTGGCCCAGGAGGGGGGGGAGGGACACCGGAGATGCGTGCGTCGGGGGGTGCTGCCCGGTGCCCGCGCGTGGCCGCCCGTGGGCGCCTCGCTGCAGGCCTCGTGCGCTGGGCGCAGCACACGGCTCGCACCGGGCAGGTGAGCGTTTTTTTTTTTGGTCGGCGTTTCGACATTGGGCGGAAAGGTCGGCGGTGGACAAACCTCCCTTTAGTAAACCTCCCCTTAATGAAAACGGCCTGGGACCGAAACCGAAGGACCTGGACCCGCAAAAATGACGGCCGCGACGCCCTCTCGCGAACCGAAAACGGCCAATTCCTTGATCGACGTGTCAGGGTAGGAGGTCTATCCACCTCCGAAAAGGGGGGGGAGGGGGGAGGGGGTCTGGCTCTGGACCTCTGCTGCGTGCGACTGTCTGCGACGGTGCGTCCTGTGGGGGGAGGGACTCCACCTGCTCGAGACAGGCGCCAAAAACAGCCAACATCCACTCCGGGGGGGGGAGGGAGGGGGGGTCCGAGGGCCCGCGCCGATCGACAAAACAATAATGAATAAAAAACGGCCACTATACGCAACGCATGATTAGCTGCCACAGCATGTGCTGCATCACACATCACATAGACTTCGCCACATAGCTTGAACCACGATTGGTACCTCGCGTGGCCTACATCACGCAGATTGCACACACACACACACACACACACACAAGCACAAACGGATTGCGCCGCATAGTGTGCGCCGCATAGCTGGCTCCACACATTTTGCATCACACAGCTTCCGCCAATTCGACTGCGCCACACAGCTTGCACCACATGGGCTCCACCACACAGATTGCGAAACGTAGATTCTCTTTTCAGATGAAGAACAGACTCTACCATCCTTCAGCACCCAATGTTAACCCTTCCCCTTTTCGTACTGCATTATGCACATGGTTATGCCTCATCGCTCCCTTTCCATGTGAGTTGCCACCATCCCAGGAGAGCCAGCATCTACTCCCCCTCGTCCATGTCAAGAATTTCGTGCGCGCACACGTGCTTACCTTAAAAACTATGTAACAAGAACTCCTCGAAAAGAGGCTTCGGGTTGCACACAGACAGCCGCCCCGAAGTCCTGGCTGGCCTCAATAGGCCCCCCGAGTAGTCCCGGCTGGCCTCAACAGGCCCCATGAGTAGTTCAGGGGGTTCTCAATACCTCAACCCTGGGGCGCGGAGCGCCCCAGGGGCGTCAGGGTGTTGAGTCTGAGACCGCCCCAGACCTCTGAGGAGGCCTGTCGAGGCCAGCTGGAACTACTCGGGGGGCCTGTTGAGGCCAGCCGGGGCCACACGGGGGAGCTGCCTGTGCGCAACCCGAAGCCTCGCCACCGCCGCTCGCGCCCGCTGCTCCTCGGCCGTCCCGCGGATTCCCCACGAGCATGCCTGGAATCAGCGGCGGCAGCCGTCCCAGGGTGCGCAGGGGCCTCGGATACGGCCACCAATCGTGCTACAGCAGGGAACGCTGCACACGAGGAACGACGGGGCTTTTCTGGCCACGACGAGCACTGGCCGCGGATCGAAGTCACGACGCAGTCGACGCAACGCCGCCAGGTGGCTTTTGGCGATGCGTCAACGTGGAGCGGCCCCTTGAAGTCGAAGGGCGCATTGGGTACTTTGTTGGGCGGCCACTTCAAAGTTGACGGGCGCACTGGGCTCTTGGCTGAATGCCTCCCTGTCCACGGCCCTCGATGCGCTGGCTTCAACTTTGGAGAGCGGGGGCAAGCTCCCTGTGACGCGACTTCAATTTCCTCTCGTGAATTGTGACGAGCCCTGTAGGTTCCCCGACCCAAGTCTGAGGAACGGCCCCGCAGCCAGAGCCACTCCTGAGCCAAAAGTGGTCCTTGCTTCAGCGTCTTGGCTTTACACACACAGACTGGTCCAGACATCGCGCACGGGCGCACAGTGGACGAACGAGGGCTGCGTCGCTTAGCTTTGTACCCGAGGCGACTCGCGAGAAGATCGCCCTGGCGCCAAGCAACCTCCACCCCTCTTCCCTCGTCCCTCCTCCGGAAACCTCTGGAGACGTCCGGCAACTTCCGAAAGCACCGCCGGACGCCCCCGAGAGACTGCGTGAACATCCGAACTGAAAACGGTAGAAACGCTCAGGATCCTCCGAGGACCTGCCGCGGCGCTCGGAGACGCTCAGAAACATCCGACGGCCTCCCGCTCCTCCGACGGCGACGTCCGATGTCGTCCGACGGGAGGCCCCCCCCCCCCAAGAAACCTCCCGGAGGCCAGGCGAGACGCGAGGGACGCTCCACATCGTCGACCCTCGAGCCCGGATCCTCGGACCTCGGCCGCTGCCGCCGGCACCAGAGCATGCGGCGACGGCGGCGGCGGCGGCGGCGTTGGGCAATCCGAGAAGCGGCCACCCAAGAGGCATCCGAGAGTACAGAGCCCCGGGGCCATCAGCTGGCGCTGGGCCCGCTCTGCTATGTCACCGCGCGGCTCGTCACAGGCACCCGAGGAATTCGGCCACACCTCTGACAGGGACGACGACGGCGGCGACGGCGACGGCGATGACGGCGATGGCCACCATAGCAACGACGACGACGACAACGACGACAACGACCCACCACGACGACGACGACGACGACGACGACGACGACGACGACGACGACGACGACGACGACGACAAGCGACGACAACGACAAGCGACGACGAGCGACGACAAGCGACGGCGACGACGACGGCGGGCCCTCTGGGCGGCGGCCTCCGCGTCGTCCTCGCAGCCAAGGGCGCCGTGCGCGCAGCACCACCTCTTCTTCTGCTCCGACCAACTCCTCGCCGCGATGCGGCGTCGCGGCGGGTTCGGTCTCTCCGCTGGCCTTTGGACATTTTCGGGTGGCCTGCCTCCGCCGGCGCCGCCGGTGCCACCACCATCATCGCGAGGAGGCGACGTCGTCGCAAGCAGGCAGGAACCACGACGACGACGACGACGACGACGCTCTGCAAGTGTCCAGGCCTTTTACGTGAAGGAATCCAGAGACGAACCGCGAGCAGAGGGGTCGAATCCAGGGGACCTGGAGGGCGGGGCTTCCCACGACGAGGAGGCTGGACCTCGACACTACAGCAGCGACACCACGGCGGCGACACCGAACTGCAGGGGCCCAGGGACACACGAGTAAATACATACAAATCCCAGGATTCCCGATATGTTTTTCCATACCTTTTGGAGTTCCGTCCTCCCCCTCGCTTCCCATATTTTCGCCTATGTTCCTGGGAGTCGACGATTACTTGATTTTCCTCCCTCCACAAGTACAGCAGGCGGCGGCAAGCGAAATCTGCCAGCCTGGAACATATCCCTATCCCTATGCTGGGCATCTCCTCATCACGATGCCAATCTTAGGGGGTCCCTTAGTTTTTCAGGGCGAATCCCTAAGATTGTCATCGCCTTTTGGCGTGTCAATCTTAGGGATAGGGATAAGTTCGAGGCTGGTGAGAAATGCTGGCAAACGATCATCGGGGCCGTCGGGGAGGAGCGGTCGTCGGGGTCACCGGAAAGGGGGGCCCAGGGCGGGCCGGGGCGAACTGCCGCGCGGTGGCCCCCCGTTATCGGGCGCGCACCTCGCACCGCTAGAGCCCGCCCGCCACTGGCTCATATAGGGGAACAAACAATGACATAATAAAACTCGGAGGTCCGCGCGGATTTCTCGTATCGGCGCTGGGGCCCCCCGGCGGCGTGGCGCGCTCCGCGCGCCAGGGAGGGGGGTCCAGCGCCCATCCGAGAAATCCGCGCGGACCTCCGAGTGTTTATGTTTATGACACTTTTGTTCCCCTAGGCCTGCCGCATCGCGGCTTGGTCGCGGGGCAATTCCGGATGTACTCCCCTCGGGCGTTGGCAAAACTGGGTTCAGTGGGACCTGGTTTGGCGATGTGCACTGGGGGGCGCCCACCCCGCCCCGTTCCACGAGCCGGGACTGGCGTCACCCGAAAAAACACCAGCTACGGCAGCCCTGATTTGGTGCTTCTGGCCAATTTCAGGGGCTCCCGGGCCCCACTGCTAACAAGGGTCCCCTTACCTGGGGTCCTGGCCATGCCCGATTCCCGTCCCGCCAGCGCCCAGCGCGGCGCCCGCCCCCCTGGAAACGGGGGCGGAGGCGCCGTCGTTCGCAATCATCCCGTGCTGCCACGTTGGGGGCTGCCACGGGGGGCTGCCACGGGGCGCCAGGAGGTGCCGGCAAATCCTCTCACGGCGACGGCCGTGGAGGCCGCAACGGCCGGCAGAAGGCACGCAGCAGCCACCCCGCGCGGCCGAGGAGACAGGACCGCCCGCACATCTCCCTCTGGCAGGGAAGAGAAGATCGCTGGGCATACCGCTGGGCATACTGCTCCGCCACGGACGCGGCGTCTTCCCGTGTAGCGCCAACCAGCCGCTTAGCCAAGACGGCGACAGCCCTCCTGGCACCGCTACCCAAAACTCCGCGATGTTCCACCTCCATCGGATGCAAGCGAAACCCTGCTCGTAGCGGTCCGTCCGCCTCTCGGCAAATGTGGCAGACACCGCGAGGAGGTCGGCGCGCATCCCGGCAGGAGGAGCCCCAGGCGCTCCAAGTCAGCCCCTGCGCAGCCCGCCTTCAGGGCATCGAAAATCGACTAGCTGCAGAGGGCGTTGCGATGACCCCCGCAGCAGGGGCAAACCACGGCGTGGTTCCCGAAGACGTCGGGACACACGCGGGGCGAGAGGGCGCTGCACCGAGCTGCTGCTGGTCTGCACAGCTGCAGAGGGGCCGCCCTCCTCGCCGCCGTCGCCCTCGGCGCAGCCAAAAAAGAGCTCCGGCGGCAGGAGACGGGCGCTCGCCGCGCGGGGGGCCGCGTCGCGGCAGCGTGCACCTCTCTGCAGAGTGGAGGCCGACGCCGGGCGCTGACGAAGTCTGAGGTGGGCCCGTGTCTCCAGGAGGCGTGGAAGGAGACGACGCCCGGACGGCAGGGCCCCAGCGGGTCGCCCCGCCGCACCCCGCGCCTGCCGCTGCCCCTCGCCTCCCCGGATGGGCCTCGGGGACAGGCCTCGGGGATGGACAGGCGCCCCTTTAGTAAAACGTGGTTTGGTGAAAACGACCTGAGGCCCAAACCTGGCGGGCGCAGGCCTGGAAAATGACGGCCACGGCGCCCTCTCGAGAACCGAAAACGGACAATTCACTAATCGACGTGTCACTGTTGGGGGTTCTGTCCACCCCCGAAGGCTTCCGCTTGCCGCCCCGCTTGCAGCGCCTGCGCCGACGCCAAGGCGTCGGAGCGCACTACACTCACGGTCAAAGACTAGATGCTGGCGCGCCCCTTGTGACGTGCTGCCGGACGGTGCGCCTGCAGGCAAGCGCCCGAGGCCGCACCCTCCCAGCAGGCCCTACATCTCAGCGCACACAGGTGGCGGTGGCCGCCATCGTCGTCGACATCCTCGCCCTCGACGGCGGCGGCGTGTAGCCCAGCCAGTCTACCCCTACCCTGGTATTACGAGTCTCGACCTCGGGATTACGAGGCTGGAGCACGCTGTCTCGAACAGAGGCTCTCGGCCTGACCTGCTGCTAGCGTAACCCGCCACAGCCTGACCCGCGGTTGCCTCCCCACTGCGGCGTTGGAGAAGAAAACGTGGAGCCTCGGCCGTGCAAAAGCGATCAGCGTCGAATCTCTGTAATCCGGAGCGGATCGGAACAGGCCATCGAATCGGGCGGCACCATTACGGAGTCGGATTCGAAAGTCGGGAAGGTTGCGATACATAGCTTCACTGTGCAGGCATCGGGCCGCAACTGATCGCCAGAAAATGGAGGCCGACTCAGATCGGGCTGGGTGAGCTCGGTACCGAATCGGATCGCTCAAGTCAGCGTGGGCCCCGAGAGGTTGAGCCCCAGCCGTGTGCCCGCCCAGAGGGGCTCCCCTGCCAGTCGGCCACACCCTCGCGGCAGTCGTACGGCGCGGACGTAGTGGTGGCCTCCCCGTCGTCCTGGGCGCCCGCAGCGGAGAGGAGCGGGGAGATGCCCCTTGGGCCGTCATCGTCGTCGTCGTCGTCGTGGTCGTGGTGGTGGTGGTGGTGGTGGTGGTGGTGGTGGTGGTGGTGGTGGTGGTGGTGGTGGTGGTGGTGGTGGTGGTGGTGGTGGTGGTGGTGGTGGTGGTGGTGGTGGTGGTGGTGGTGGTGGTGGCACGGATCAGCGAGGGGCCACCTGGAAGCACGCATGCAGCATACATTCGAATAGGCATTCATGGAAACATGGTACCCAGGTACAGAAAGACAACGTATGCGTCGGGCTTATCAAATTTACGCTAACATCATGGCATACAAAATCCCGCGTGTTACCCACGGGTCCCAAGCCGCCTATAACACGCCACGAGCAACATCGTGCCCGCTTGCACTGTGGTAGACCTTCCCTTCACGTCTGGATCCGGTTATCTGAAATCTCTTATAGACACAGGAGAGACATCGACTAATTGGACGATCGGCTATGGCCAAGCAGCCGTCGAAGTGCTCATCCGAACACATGAACTAGCACCGTGGTGTGCGAACAACACTAGGGGAACAAAAAGTGGCATAAACATAAAAACTCGGAGGTCCGCGCGGATTTCTCGGATCGGCGCTGGGGCCCCCTGGCGGCGCCTCCGGCGCCGCCCCTGGCGCGCTCCGCGCGCCAGAGAAGGGGGTCCAGCGCCGATCCGCGCGGACCTCCGAGTTTTTATGTTGATGTCACTTTTTGTTCCCCGAAGCACAGCGATGATTCCACCAATTGGCTCCGACGTCCGGTCGCCAACGACCATGGCAGCACCGAAACCTTCACGGCTGTCATCCTTAGGTTCCGCCTGGTACGCTGCAGAAGGCGAGCGCTCGGAGAGCCCAGAGACACCACAAGCGGATCTTCGAGCTGCACGCCCTGCCAAACCAGACTTGCAAAGTTCACCGTGGCTCGGCACAACAGGAAAACAGCGCACCGAATCACTGTCCCTCGCCCTCACTAGGGCCACTGGCAGCATCCCTACCACGCCATCACGCCCTCGTCCCCAGCGTCATCCTTTCCGTCCCTCATTCCTCCCTCGCTCTCCTACATCGAAGCACATACGGATCCGATCCCCTCCCCTACCCTCTCATTTGTCCCTCCCTCCCTTTTTGCCGCTCCTCACCCTCACTCATACAATCCTGTGTTCAAGGCCTGGCTGCTCGTCATCATCCTCGTCATCACCATCATCATCATCATCATCAGCATCATCATCATCACCACCATCATCATCATCATCATCATCATCACCACCACCACCACCACCACCATCATCATCATCATCATCATCGTCATCATCATCATCATCATCATCATCATCATCATCATCATCATCATCATCATCATCATCATCATCATCATCATCATCATCATCATCATCATCATCATCATCATCATCATCATCATCATCATCGTCATCTTCATCATCATCATCATCATCAGCAGCATCATCATCGTCATCATCGTCATCATCGTCGTCATCATCATCAGCAGCATCATCA